GCCGGGGGCCTTCTGGAGATTTGTTCTTCTAGCCTCGGGAGAAGCTCGCCATCGGCGGCGTCGATAGCACCGTCGGCGCCCTAGGGCAATTCTCCACATTTTAGTCTTTTTTGCTCCAAATTCGTTCCTTTTTGCATCTTTTTGCTCCATTGACCTTAATTCATCATTTATGCAACAAAACATCAAAAATATATTTCTTTAAAGTGCAATATCATTAAAAACAGTATAAAAGAGGTACGAAAATCTCAACATATTTTCCTTTGGTCACTACCACCTCTACAAGCCCCCTAACAGCTACCACTACAACCTGAGATCCACCATAGTTGAGTTTGTTTGTGTTTGTTATTGTATTTTCCTTTCAAGTGTTTTTGGTTGTAACCGCCTATTCACTTCAATAATAATATTTGTTTTTTCCTATTGTGGTTCGGGTTAACTCCAGTATCATTTGGTATCAGAGTTAGTTTAAACGTAATCCTATCCTGGGGTTTCTAGCATCCACTACTACTCAACCCTACCTTCACCCAAAATTTTTCTTTCGCACCCTATATCAACCCTACACACCTCCGTAACCTACCCATTCTCAAACCCTAATCATGCCGCTATGAAGGCAATTGCCAGAATCTGATCAAGAGTTTACCATGGAAGAGTTACAGCGACAATTCCGCCAAGTGCGACAACTCCGCTGAGTGCGACAACTCTGCCAATGATATTGAGAAAAAAACGCATGGAGAGGTCGCTGGCGAGCATGGTAGCGAGATCTGAAGAGGAGAGAGAGGAACACTAAACTCCCCTCCAAAGGGATGATTCCAGTGGAGAAGAAAACATGTCACGATGTTTTAGGATACAGTATCAAAGGAGGCTGAGAGATGAAATGCATGTTAGAGGATACATAGACGAAGTGTCTGTTGGGAGATACAAAGACTCAGAAGTGAAGGTAAACATCTCAGATATTGAGGGGCAGATGAATCTAGATGATTTCATAGAGTTGTTGCAAAACATCAAGAAAGAGTTTAAATACAAGGAGATGTCAGGCGACTAGAAAGTGAAACTAGCTGCTATCAAGTTGAATAAGAGCATCTTGTTGTGGTCAAAGAACCTAAAAAGAGAGAAATAGGGAGGACAGAGCAAGATTACTACCTGGGAGAATATGAAGAGAGTTGCAACGACAGTACCTACCCCCACACTATCATCAAGTTCTTCTCTTGAGGCTCCACTACCTACACTAGAGGGACCTATCGGTGGAAGAGTACACATCAGATTTTATACATCTTAAGCTGAAAGTGATCTAACAGACCAAGAGGAGCGCACGATACAATCAACCACTACCAAGAGACAATAGAAGCAAAACAGGCACCCACTACCATTCAAACAACCACTCACAGTTGGAGACATTACTAGAAACACATCTAAGACAATTAATAAGTTCGGCCAAGAGAAAGATCAGGCTGCTCAAAGTGAGATGTCTGAGAAAAGCAGCATAGCCAATACAGTCACAATCAGGAAATACTTCAGATGTCATGGTTTTGGACACATCAAATTTCTCGACAAGCTAAGTAATGTCCTTCACTGAGCAAGGTGCAAAGCTATGAAGAGGTAGCTGAAAAAAATGGTTGAGTGCCATTTCCAACAAGATGAGGGCGAGAAAATTATGGTTTGACGAGTTCTATAAATTGAGGCTACCAGAGACCAGCAGTGGGTTCGCCACAACATTTTCAACACCTATTGCATTGTGAAAGAAAAGATACGCAGTTTCATCATTGCTTGAGAGAGCAACAAGAATGTGACACCTACACAGATGATGGACAAGTTGAGCCCCGCAAAGGCAATCTCAAACATACTTCCTAACGTGCCATCAGCAATGTGGTTCAGCTATACTAGTCTCTGAGTGACGTTCAGACCTTAGAACTGAAGGTGGAGAGACAATAAAGCAAAACAGACACTCACTACCATTCAGACAGCCACCCACAGTTTGAGACATCACTAGAAGCACATTTAAGGCAACTAGGAAGTTTGGTCAAGAGGAAGATCAGGCTGCTCGAAGTGAGAAAATGTCTGAGAAAAGCAGCATAACCAAAAAAGTAACAATTAGGAAATGCTTCTGATGCCATGGTTCTGGACACTTCAAATTTCTAGACAAACTAAGTTGTGTCCTTCACCGACCAAGTACAGAGCTATGAAGAGGCAGCTGAAAAAAATGGTGAGGTCTGTCATTTCCAACCAGATGAGGATAAGATGATCGTGGTTTGGCGAGTCCTATAGACTGACGCTACGAGTTATCAGCAATGGCTTCGTCACAACATTTTTAACACTTATTGCACTGTGAAAGAAGAGATACATAGTTTTATCATTGATGGAAAAACACAAGAATGTGGCATCTACACAGTGGTGGACAAGCTGAGCACCACGACAAAAGACAATCCCAGTCATACACCCTAACGTGGTAGAGTAAAAAAAATAAAGTCAGTATTGACAAGAGATATCTCGTGGAGTTTTTGATTGTGAACCAACCGCGAAATCAAGTTTGGTACGACGTGGTGACCATGGATGTCTACCACCTTTTGTTGGGGAGATCGTAGCAATTTAATTATCGGATTCAATATGACAAATTCAGAAACACCTACTCCACCAAAGATGGTAAGCACATAATCCTTCTAACTTCTGCAGAGTATGAGAGTACAGGTACCCTTACCAATAGAGAAGCGCAAGTCGAATTAGTTTTGGAGATGATAGAGGCGAGCAAGGTAAAAGAGTCGATTTCAGACACATGGCAGCCAGTACATAAAGTATTTCAGGGCATCCTGTTTCATAACTTACTGTCATGTCTGCCACCGTTTGAGGAGATTCAAGTTACTATTACTTTAAATTGGGTTGAGCCAACCATGTTTTTCTTTTGGAGTCGGAAGAAAGCACAAAATCCATGTTCAGCTCAGCAGTTTACCCTCAAATGTTTGGACTGATATGGATGTTTGCTCGCAAGTGTGAAAAACTCCTCGTATATTTCGGGAGTCAGTGCAACCAACAATGGGATCCAAGTGTTCGTGTTAGAGCAACTTCGCAACCATCAACTTGCCAACAGAAGCTTCAACGAAAGGGGTCGAAGCTCCCCAACCCCGGGAGACTTACGCAAGAGCGTTCCGCTCCTAACACGGAAGGGCCGCGAAATCGCACCCCTTGAAATTCGAGACCTTTTGGTCCTGTACAAGCAAACTAGGGACCAGTCGATCAAGCTGATTACTTAGGCTTGCCACCCACTTGATGGGAGGCCATTCCTTAGTTACCTTAGGTCTATAAGAATGTTGTTTTCATGGTTGACGTCAGTTTTTCCTCGTGTTTATGTCAGGACAGCCATTGGCATCCAAGTTTCCCTTACAGGATTGTATCCAATGATGGGTGATATGCTCCGACTATATCTCGTCCCAGGTGGTGATTATCCTCGACCACCCGACATCCTCTACAACCTTCCCTTCATCGTTGCAGCTACCTTCTCTGTTGCATCCACCCGGAAGCAGCCCTCCTGGTTGTTCTCCTTGGAGTTTCCACGCCACCCAACAGCCAGCCGCCTACCATCCTGATTGCCTCCCTACTCTACCATCCCAACACCTTCCTCCACCTCCCCGCCTTCTGCCTCGTCATCGCAATCTGTAGTCCATTGTTATTCCATCCACATAAACTGCATCCCTGTCATCTAGTTGTTCCAACACTTCCTCTATGTTGTCACTGATGTTCCAGTTGTCCAAAACCATCCCTCGTGTCGCCTCACTGCTGTCTCAACCACCAGAACCACCTCCCCATAACCTAGTTGTTGTTCCCACTGCACAAAACCGCCCCTAGCCGTTATTTCTTTGTTGTCCAGTCTAGCTACCCCCTTGTTACCGCCTCTCTAAACCCCTAATGGCCACCACCACTACCCGAGATCCGCCGATAGTCGAGTTTATTTGTGTTTGTTAATGCATTCCCTTTGAACAGTGTTTGGTTGAAATCGCCTATTCGTTTCAGGAATAGTATTTGTTTTTTTCCTATTGTGGTTTGGGTTAATTTCAGCATGATTACAGTAAGTTCAAGGCATACTATTGCATAATATTTTCCACTTGACATCAGCATATAAGGTAATGCAAAATAAGATGTTCCTCTAGGTGGAAAACAAATAAAACAAAAAATTGAGAAAATTACAGATATACATTTATAAAGCTGATGCTGATAATGAAAATTTGACTTCTTGGCTCACAAGAATGAAAGAGACAATTTCGCTAAAAAAATGTAAAAGCATTCTATTCATAAGTAAATACAATAATTAAAATATTTTCATATGGCGGTCAAGATATTAGCAACGCAAGCTATTACACCATAAGCGGCATACAACACTGTAGCTGCAGAAAAGAATGTTTTTAACAGAACATATCAACTGGAAATATGACTTAAAAAATTATGCATGAATGCATCTATCCATCTATCTATCTATATATCTATGTGTGTGTGTCTCCTCACCACACTAGCTTCCTTGATCTTTTGTAATGATTTGGCAAGACCACCATCCTTCTTTTGTAATGGAGCCAATTTATCGTTCCTTTTGTCTGATGTGGGTACATATTCATCTACAGCCAATTCAGTCTCCTACAAACAAAGCATAAAAGTTATTTCGAACAAGTAGGATTAGGAACAAAATTGTTTGAAGATACCATAACTGTAAGGCTAGTACGTACAATGACAGTGTTGACTGCTCCTGAACAACTTGAATTAGAGTTTAGTAGCTGAAAAAAAAAGGGAAACAAATAACTAGCTGCCCGGGACACTGAATATCAGCATGCCTGCAAAAAAATATAGAATTGCTAGGAAGCAGGTGACAGGAACAATCAAAGTACAACTTGAGGGAATCTAACTACTTGAATTAGAGTTTAAGTTTTATTGATTACATCTCGCTTCATCTATAAGCTTTTTGTGATCAGCACAGTTCATAAGATTTTATTCATAATAGCTTCGACAAATTCAGTGATACAATCCAAAAATAGTGTTAGCCAAAAGAAAGCAGTCACAGTTTATCATTATGGAGAGTAGAATAAATCATATCCAAAGTTTGTCAAATCATTACAGCGTAAAACAGATGCATTTTAGTCCAACAAAATTATGCCGTTTCTTTTTTTCTTTTCTCTTTCTTTTTTTTTCTGAAATATGGAACAGTGAGTGGGTAAGAAATCATAGGCAAGATGAACCACAGGAAAGATTCTTCGGAATGGCCAATCAAGGGGTGATATAGAAACAACCAGAACAAAAAGATGAATAAAAAATTATACTTACAAAAGCAGAAAACCTATGGGTGAAACCTTTGTGGCTCAATGGTCATGCGCCATTGAACTCACACAAGCAATTTCTCTTCTTCTATCAATACATGCAACCATTACATAAGTAGTATACATAATATCCAACTTATAATTCCATATGCTTTACACCCTAGAATACAACTTTTACCGAGAATTCACAAGAAACTAAAAATTAATTTTGGATTCTGAAGTGCCTTGATCTTTAAATTGACCCACAAAAAATTATTATGGCGAAAAAGTCAGGCTCTCTCCTCATCACTTAAACACAACTCTCCCTTGATGTTACATTTATCTCTTTCCTCATATCATCTTCCCACATGTACAATAGCGATTACAATTTGTACTAAAAAAAACTTAATCAAAAATAAAATATTATCAAACAAGAGATACGACTAAATAAAAAAGATGCTTTGTTGAGACCTTATTTGAAGATCATGATAAAAATCGACCTCTGAATATATCCCACAACCTGATTTGATAAAACATAATGAAATTAATTGAAGACGTAAGTATAATATTATGGAGTTAGTTTAAATGCATTCCATATATTAAAAATGCTCAAAAGGAACCAATGTCATGAAACGGACTACACACGTCCAAAATGTCAAAATTATTTACCCCCACAATCTAGTCGATTGAATATGACAACAACAGTTTAAGGATGAGCGTGGTAACATGCAGTTTTCAGTCTAAACACACTGCACAAATCCAAAATCACTCACACCTTGCAAGTTTAGAGAGGTGGACTGCGCTGACACACTTAGAACCTCAAAAATACCTCAAAAGAATTCATACTGCATGGGTCATTACTTGGGGAAAAAAAAAACAAATTATCTCCACACAAGATGGGGACAATTTAGTGCGAACAACAAAAATTATGTGAAGAGTCAATACACATTAATTTTGTATTTTCTTAAAATTAGATATAACTTCTTATTAAAATTGTATTTTCTTATAACTAGATTTGAGTTTTTTTAAAAAAAGCCTAATAAATCAGTTGCACTATCCTATTTGATCCTGTATATCTTCTGCCTCGAAGTAGTTTACACATGAAAAATCGTCCATTGATCATGAAGGAACAATTGGAAATTTTTGAAAAATACACTAAACAAAACCCTTGCTTGGCCTCTGTCCTATACAAGCATGTAACCCAGTTTGTGTCTTTTACTCTCCCTCATCTTCCTCTCCTTTGGTTCCAACCCAACTCACACTCTCTAACCTTCGATGACCAAGAAAAAAGTTTGTCATGATAAGCACTGAAAAGCCTTGATAGGATCAAAAAGTTTTATGTAAGCAATGATTTGTACCAAATCAGATATTGCATATGTAATAGGAGTTGTCAGCAGGTATATGAGCAATCCAGTTAGACATTATTTGAGTGGATTCTCAAGTATTTGAGTGGAACAGTCAACAACGCACTTTGTTATGGAAGTGCAAGGATTGCTCACAAGGATTTGTAGATTCAGATTTGGCAAGAAATGTGGACAGTACAAGTACAACGAGGAATATCTTCACATTGGGAAGCATAGTGGTGCGTCGGGTTTCCAGGTTAAAGAGGATTGTTACACTTTCTACTACGGAGCTCGAATATGTTGTTATTACTGATGCTAGCAAGAAGATTATTTGCCTACAGAGTTTCACGGCAGAATTGTGCAAGGAGCAGAGGATTGGAAAACTCTACAATGACAGTATGAGTGCAATTCATCTTGCTAAGGACGTTGTTTTTCATGCCAGGATGAAACATATTCATCTAAGGTATCATTTCATTCGCTCTCTTCTTAAAGAAGGACAGTTGTTCCTGAAGAAGATACACACAGCTCAGAATCCTGCGGATATGTTGACGAAGGTTGTGACTGTTGAGAAACCGGAGTTGTGTTTGGCTTCAGATAGGTTTTATGAAGGTTGAGACCGTGGGGTGAGCCACACCACAATACATGACTATGAAGGCAATTCAGATGGAGGTGTAGGAACAAAGAGGACTAAACTAGGTGCTATTGTCTCCATGTGGGAGATTGTTACTCTTGTGGAGCCAAAGCACTAAAGGAAGACCGAAAACCCGGCGCTTAGGCGCTGCTTCTGAAGGGTTGTCTTTGCGCCCCCCTTGGGCGCCCAAGCACCCAACTATGCTTGGCACGATTTTGCTTCCCAAGAGATGGGCGCTTTTGAGCACATAGCAGTTGGTATGCAAAATTTTTGTTTCAAGCCAATTTCAAGCGGCGTATCAGTAAGCCGGTGTTCTTCAAAAATTCCTGGTGAATAAGAGAAGAGTTAGAGAGGAGGATTTTTGGGATCTCGGCGAGTGTTGTTTGCATCAAATCGGACAAGGAAATTTTTCGAGCGTCCTGTAAGTTTCTTCCTGTGAGTGTGGAGGAGAAACTTGTGTGAATTCTTTGTAAAACTATCTCATTTTTATAGTGAATTTGTGTTGGTGTGGCTTCGTAGTTTATTCCTGTTCTCAAGTTTTTCCAGGTAAAATTCTCGTGTTTTCTAATTGTTTTGATTTTGCTTTCGTACTTAAATTTATTGTTCCGTTTTCTGAAATCATGTTATCATATTCCACGGTGAAGCTAGAAGGAGATTCTTTCGAAGTAATTTCTCTCAACAAATTCCTTGAATTTCTCTTCCTTGCATACGTGCTTGCAACCTTCATGGGCCCCTCCTGTTCGTTGGATCCTTCGGTCGCTGCTCCCCACTGTGCTGCTTCTTCCTACTGAGCCGTTAAGTTCTTAGATCGTTGGGGTGGGTCGGTCGGCTGAATCTCGATTGGTCCCGCTTGAGCCGTTTTAATACGCTGTGTAACATATTTGTTCTTCATTTAATCATTTTGGCAAAAGTTTATCTTATCTTCCAATTTAAAGTCTTAAAAAATTCTTATGGCAAATCTAGATGCTTCATTACTTTTTGTCATTATCAAAAAAAGTTACATTGCATCATCTAACGTGATGTTCCCAACCCTCACCAGCTGCGCCAATCAAGAGGGACATCTCGCCCACATTTTCCTACTGACCAAAAAATACTAGGTCATCACGTATCACTTCTACTAGTTATCAGCCGAATTTTAACCCATAATCTTGCTTTCTCATCTAGGTTAGGTACTAGCAATGGCGATTATTAAAGAATAAAGTCATATAAAATAAAATTAATATTAATATTAATAGCTCTTGACTGACAACTAAAAAAGATTATTGATGAACAAAATGCTAATAAGTTTTGGTGTCGAACAAATAAAAGTGTCGGGTGACCTATAAAAAGTTTTTGATCGTGTAAAACGACCCATCACTCAATATAAATAAAGTTTCACAACAAACTCTAGCCTAGCCACATCAACAAATACAATTACACATCTAGCTAGAGAACAAATAAACATCAACAAGGATAGTCCACAAATACCAATGACAAATATTCGATAGAAAATTTCTAAGAATAGTTCGATGTCGTCGAGACATCCACTTCAAAAAAAAAAAAACATTTGATATGCATCAACTGTAGATTAGACCTTTTAGAATATGATGTATTAGTTAATCTCATAGAAACTTGACTTTAATGTAGTATATGATACTTGGGTGTATGGTACATGTGCTGATCCATGGATGTGACAATTTTTATTTGTTTTGCAAGCGGCCTAAGGCTAGATCCTAGGTTCTAAGATTAGGAGGCCAAGACCTCACTAAAAATGAGGTCAACAGTGTCCATACTTTCATCCAAGTTTTTCATGCCTGTGATATCCCATCCTGTATTTAAGGAATCCATATCTCATTGCAATGTTATGTATCATAAAAAGAAAGATTTCATCATAAAATATAATTTAACAAGAAAATTCAAGAAGAAATTTTGCGTGTGTATTTGTAATTAAACTTACCTCCACATTTTGAGCATTATCAGTACTTTGTTGCACTCTCCTCTCGAGCTCAATTAATTCATTTCTCAAATGCTCAAATCTGTTTCTCTCATTTGAAATGGTCTCGTCATTTCCAAATTTAGATGATGCAACAACCTGAATGGGTTGTGCAAACTATAAGAATGTGGTTAGACTAAAAAACACAAGAAAAAAATTGGAGCATTCAATGTTGCAAAACTGCTGACAACTTGAAGTTGTAATATTATTGAATAGTAAAAAGAAACTAAAAAAGTTGAATGTGGCTCATATTTTAATCATCATAGACTATCGTTTCTAAAAGTATTCAATCACCAATGCCAACAACTCTAATCTAATAGATTTGTTTTTTCAATACGACACTTAATAAGGAATAGCAGTTAGTGAGATATTGCTTAACTGTTGCCTTACATTTTGATCTGATGTTGCTATTGGACGCTCTCTCTTGCTTACATTACGTGTCATGAAATTCCAAAACCAACGCTCTTTATTGGCCATCCTGCCACATGAAGGTTTTATCAAACACTGAAAGGAGTAGAAAATGGGCATTGCAGCTCTTTTGGCAAAAAACTTCAAACATTTCAATATAGTGCAGCAATCCATTTTGTGTACCTCTTGCCAGATACTTCATCTTTTTTACTAGAAATAGATGCCTCCATAGCCATTTCTGGAAAACTTTTCTCAGTAAAGGAGTGTGAATCATCGCCAGCACCCCCCTAAAGCATGCAAAACTGATTACTGAAGCCAAACTCCATAAAGAGCATAAGTGCGTCAATTTAATAGCTATAAAACACAACATGCAATAGCAAACGGATAGCTGAAGCCAAAACTCATTAGACCTTAAGAATGGATTAAAATATGCCATTAATAAATGTCCTTAAAATTGGTTATTGTGCCCCAAACTCATAAGATTTTTGTTTCGTGAGTTAGTTTCTCGGCCATACAAGAGAAAAAAAGGTAGACATAAAATGCAAAGATCTTATGGTAAGATTATGAAGGAAAAAAATAAGAAAGACTAGCAGTCAATACTCCACATGAAAAGATAACTGGATTACTTGCATGGAGGTATATATTTTTGCTTTGTTTAAAAGAAATAATTATGTGGCAAATCTCAAAAATAACACTAAAAATAGAAAGTGAATGAAAAATCCATTAGCATCAACAGTAAACTGTAAGCAATATTTTCTGTCTGGCCAAAATATTCATACTTTGACAACGGATGATTTCAAACATAATATCAAGTTATAATGGTTAAGTTAACAGATCTTTAAATTGAAATATTCCAGAATTAAAAAAATAAGCTTCCAAAAAAAGATACAAAAAGGATGATTTAAGGAAGAATCCAATAAGACCTTTGAATCCATAATATGCAATCCAAACTCTTCAACAAACATCTATTGAAAGAAAATGGAAGGGCATGGAGGTTTTACCTGTTCTAGCGAGTCTGCTTTAGCTCTGAAAGAAGCCTCGAGAAATTCAGCCTCTTTCTTGAGCTTCCTTATCTTCTCAAGATCCGAACAAGCAGCTTTTAGATGCTCTTTTCCATTATTTGAACTAGAAACATGTAGCTCTTGTAGCAAATTCTCTAACCTAACCAAAACTTCCTCGACACTTTCAAGAGTCTGCAATCAAAAATCAAATATTCCACCAAAAAGGGAATTAAAAGATAAGCATGCAGCTCATGAGAGTGAGTAAATTGTTCTAGCTAACAAAATATTGACTTGAAAGGAAACATTTCGCAGCAGGAAAAATTAAGTCTTAAAATGTTATCCAGATGAGTTCCAAGTTATCATCCCAATCAAAAGAAAATATAAACGTTGCTGTTCAGTTTTTAAAAATACGATAGTCTATTGGATGCTTAAATGATATCAACTCAGAACCAATTAATAGCCACAATAAGCATGAATGATATAACGTATCCAATTCGAGATTTAAATTTCATTTTAAGCCAGTATACCCAGCACTACTTGAGAAATGCCATCTCCTACTCTTAGGGCTGCTTAATTTAAGAAATTTAAATGAGGTTTATAGGGGCCACGCAGTTCTTAAAGATTCTTAAAAGCCAGAATTAAATTTTAGTTTTTTTAAGCAAAGACCACTTTATGTCAAGCTTTAGGCAAAACATTTCAATCCTTTCTCTCAACGTAGATAATAGCAAAGGTGGGATTCCAAATATTCAAATTTACCAAGATTAAGTGATTAGTAAAACCTTCATACATTCCCTACCTCTCAGTACAAGGAGGAGGATTTGAATTTCTATATTATTTTAATGTCCTGTACAGCATTTTACAAAACAGGACTCTTTGTTCATAATTATAGAAAAATGTAAATAAGCAAATAAAAAAAGGTATTCATTAAACAAAATTTAGAAGCATGCCTTATCAAAAGTATCCATCTCTTTCTCAACAGCCAAAACCTCAGTTTGTCGTTGATTTTGATGCCCTAAACCATCCTTATCCCTTCTGTTCCTGCAGTTTTCAGTGAAACTATTTAATTATCATTTATCTGTGAGAACCAACACGTGTACATTGGCGAAGATGAAAAGTAAAGAACCTAAATTTTATGTTTACCTTAGCACCCCAAGTTCTCTCATATGCTCAGTTAAAAAGCTGTGCCTAAATATAAGAGAAAATACATAGGTAACGAACATATCTTAACTTTGTCAATAGAAAGTACCAAAGGGTTGAAGCATGCGGGACTAAAACAAAATGCTTGCAGTAATACTTCAAAAAATCAACTATAAAAATAATGTACCCTCTAGCGAGAAATCTTGCTGCCTTAATGTTAGATGGGTTCTCAAGCCATGAACTATATTTGATAAAACCCGTCATCCAATATGAGCACACATCCAATACATAGGGAATTGCTTCTTCTTGAGGCATTTTTTCTTGTATAACCATATTGTCATGAATCTGTTTTGTGTTAGATAAGTTACCACCATAAAATGGAAACCACTCCAATTCTTCACAAACAACCTGCGGATTGAAAAAAAAATTGGTGCAAAGTTGGAAAAATCATAAGACTTTTACGTACATCTGAAGATTTTGATGATGGTATAATGATGATAGAATGGAAAAAGTTGTTCACATACTTCAACATACAGCTGATACGAACTTATGGATGACAACTGAGGATAAAACAACACACTGCCCCCTATAAGATACCTGTGAAGTAACTAAACATGAAATCAAAGCACATAAAAAGTGGTGCCTAATCAAAGATAGCTAATCAAACGTAGATGATTGCTTCAACTGCACCTTATGATTCCTTCAATTGGGTTCTCCATTGTGGTAAAGCCGTTAGATGATAAGAACGACTGAGAGCTTCTGCCCAAAGCAATAAAAAACCCAAAAATTGCCAAATCCTTCTCCAATACCTGTTGATTACACGTCAGCATATTTTATCTGGAATAAAAAACACTCATAAAATAATACTCAAAAGAAATGATTGAAAAAAAGTAGCCATTAGGATTCCCCGTCAATAAAAACAGCGAGTGAAACAATCTTTCTGATGTTTTGAAGAAAAATATGAGCACTGATATGTGACCTATGAAGATTTATGGGTACAAAATCAGCCGTGTCAGCACAATACAAAAAACTGTCATAAATATGCATTGAAATAAGCATAGCCCAAAAAATTCAACAGATAATTGAATCTCATCATTCAAGGAAAATGATAATTCCTTACAATAAGACAACAACTGAATTTTTTAGGACTTAAGGTCCTGTATTGTTCGTGGGCCGGGAAATATCTTGTTTTTCAAAGAAGTATTGAAGAAGGAAAGAATAGAATGGAAGTCCTCACCTCCCCTATACCTCAATTCTTAGCTCGTAGTAGGTGGTAGAGCTGAAAAGGACAAAATGGGAGAGATAGAGATAAATGAATGGACCGATCAGTTGGGGGGGTCCTTCCCTCGAATGTGGGAGGCATCTCAATTTATATCTATATTCTTTGCTCTCACCCCGCACCCCTCGATAGGGGTAGAAAAAGAGAAAACTGTTAAAAATATATATTGTGAATAATCCCAACTTTAACAGGGCTTAGAATCAATTAGAAAGTAAATCAAACAGCCGAATAACGAGATCGCACCAATTCGATAAAAATCGGAACAAAAATTAAAACAGAAGCACAATCAAAACAACCACAAAAACACATGAGAATTTACGTAGAAAAATTGGAGAATGGAAAAAAAAACCACAAAGCCATACCATCAAAAGTTTCCACTATGAAATTCAGAGGTTTAACAAAGAACTCACACAAGCTTTTTTCTCAACACACAAAGAAAACTTACAGGACTAGCTCCACAATCTTCCCTCTCCGGTCCGATGCAAAAAAGTTACGCTGAATCGCCGAAATCCATCTATTAGAAAATCCTCGCCTTCACTAAGAAGCTCGTCAAAGAATTCAAAAGGAAAAAACAACAAGCCTCAACAAAAAGGCTTGAAATCGAGATTAAACACTATAATCTCGTTACAAACTATTTTGGGCTCCTGGGCGCCAAGACTTGGAGCCTAGTCGTCGAGCTCTCGAGTAGCTTGCAGCGTCAAAAGTGGGTGCCTAAGTGCCCATAATGGGTGCATGATTTCCACATGCTTGGTCTAGGAACCCCCAATGGGCCCTTGAGCGCCCATAGGCCGGCGCCAAGGCACTGGGAGCACTTTCTACGAGAAAATCAGCCTGTCTACTGCTCAAGGGTGCTCCAATCAGATTCCATGCCTAACAAAAACAAAATGTAAACCGCAAGAAATAAGAACCGACCATAATGTCCTTGCAAGAAGATTGGGAAATGGTTGTCAGGTGGCTCTCCATTAGAAATGCACACGTCTATAATTGAATGATGTTCTCTATGTCGGTGATTTGTAAATCTTGAGGAACAAGTACAGATGGCCTACCAAGTCACCTTGACAGGTGAGCTCGGCAGACCAATATAGCAAGTGAGCTCGGCAAACCATTTTGGCAGATGAACTCGGCAGACCAGTTCAACAAGTGAACTTGATAGAAGAAGTTGACGAACCTTTTTGAAAAATAGAAGATTGGACCTTCTAGTCCCACAAAAATATTTTAATGCATGCTTTGACTCGTAGAAGCCGCTTATGAGCATATATTGATAAAAATAATGAATCAGGGCTATAAATATAACATCATGTTAAAAAAATAAAACCCGACAATAAATACCAGGTCATTAAAAGTGAAGAAGGTGAAGAGTAAAAGCGAGAGAGGAACAAACCGTGTGTTATAACAAAGAGACGGAGATGGGGAAAACAAAGATGTGGGCTTGTGTGATAAATAAAGAAGAATGCAAGGTGGACACAAAGTTGACAAAACAAGCTGAGGGAGACAGAGAATTGTTCGGTTCATGCACAAACTAGAAAGTGAATAAAATGGAGAAGATGAAGAACAATCAAAGGAGCAGATCCCCTGTGCGAACTAATATCGAGGCCGGGAGATGAAGAAGTGCAACTTTGGCTTTCAAAATACAAACAAAATTTAAACAAATACTTTGACATTGTCTATTCGAGTCAAATCCATCAAACTAATAGAGTTCATTATTTTCCTTAGCAGTGTTAATCATCCTTCCAATAGTCAATTCGTGAAACTTACAACAAGAATAAAAATTAGTAAAAGACAACAAGTTACAAGACAATTTAAAAACATGGAGTACATCACGAAGGGTTAACAATGAGGTGAGTTTGAAGTTCTGTTTTTGGCAATTACTAAGAGGGAACCACGGCTATTTTGATCGTTTTAATGCTCGCACAAGATCTATAAGAGAAAAATAATTCAGAACAACCAGTCATATGATAAGTTGCACTAGAATCAAATATCCAAGAATGAACAAAATTAAGAGTAGCACATAACAATGCAGTGGCTAAATATTTACCCTTCTGAGCGAAAAAGAAAGACATGAGATCGAAACAATTTCTGCAGGAGCTCTAATTTCACCTAGGTGAAAGGGGCTGCATCCAAGCTTGCAAAAGGCTCCTGAGTTTCTTCAGTAGTGGCTCGATAAGCTTGACCTTCAAACTTGAACTTTGATTTCTAATTCGAAGGTTTTCCATGAAGCTTCCAACATGTCTCATTTTTGTATTAAAGATTTTTTGCAATGCTTGAGCCATAGTTTCTTAGACCCTGGTTTGTCAATATCAATTCCTTTTTACAAAAGAGTCGAGTTCTCATATATAATGTCACAAAGAAGTTTGGTATTGCACAACACAATTTTTCTTCTTGACTCTTCATGTCTAACCTCAGAAAAACTTTTCGAACAGAGGGGAGAGGTTTCCTACCAAGGATGACACATTTGACTTTGTCTAAACTCCAAATAAGGCTAATTAAGAACATGTAGACCCGATCATTTTTCTATCTTCTTTTGGCGAGCATAGTCATTTGAATTCTCTTAAATGTCATTATAACATTGATCAAGCTCTTATTATAATATTACCAACTCATTATAATATGTCATAACATCATGATCATTTTGTTTGGATTTCTAAAGTTGAGTTTTCAACTCAAAATTTTGGGAAGAATTCTCCAAGTCAGAATAAAGATCTCTCACAACCTCCCATATATCTTAAACAGTGGGAAGGAATAGATACAGCTTTCCTATGGTAGGTTACATGGAATTGATGAGTCAAACTATAACCAAAGAGTCTTCAAACTCTTTTTTTCAAATTAAAGTCACCAGACGTAGGTTTCAAACATTCTCCAATTAATTATTCAATTGTGCATCTTTTGTATATCGTCAATTCTATGGATTGATCTCAATTACGATAGTTGTGCGGATTGAGTTTTATAACTGTAATAAGGTAGTGAATTTTGGAGATAATACCCGGCCGAGACAATCATGAAAGGAGATTTAGGATGACGTGAAGTGGTTTTTGAATTGTCGGAACCAATAATTGGGGTAGAACAATACTGAGTTATAAAACATCCACAGAATTTTAGAAGTGTTACGCACGTGCAGTGGCAACCCCAAGGGAAAAAGAAAGATGTTTTTGTTCTAGTATGGGCTCGGCTTGCGCATGTTCAAACCTGTGTCAACTCCAGAGAAAGGTTGTGAAGAGTTTGGTTCCAATAGTGCCCATGAAGGAGTTTGGTTCCCACAGATAACACCAAAGAAATGTCACGGGAGACAGGACTTGCTAGCTATAGATTGAGTGGTTCGAGCCCTAGAAGTTGTGTGTGACATTCCTTGCTAGTTACAAGTTGAAGCGAGGCGAAGAAAGAAAAAACTGTGAGAATGGAACTCACAGACGGACAAGCCAATAGGATTTAATCAAGATTTTGAGAGCAATAATGTGGCGTTAATGCCATGTAAGTTTTGGAGGGTGATAAATAATAGGGGGAAGGCTATCAAATTAGAAAAGCCACAAAATTCACATGTTAAAATCAGAAAACAAAAATTACAACTAACCAACAAGAACAACTTCTAAAAGTAGGAAATACTAAAAATAAAACTTCCTGAAATTCCAATACATATCGATCGATTAAAGGATAAATTATATATAACTCATTTATAGATAATATCAAGCCCGATTAGATGAATACTCACTAATTATACATCTAAATAGTTAACCTTATTTTTTTCATTGTTGTTTTTACATCAATTTGAGAATGATATTATTGAAAATTTTATTTGAGCTCCCATTATATTTTAAGAAAATAATAATAAATTTCACATTGTTCTTAGACATGATAATATAAGAAATCAATATAATTTAACAAAATCATTGTATTTAACTTCGCTAAATATATGACATCGATAGTTTATTATAAGAATAAAATGCATTATTCAGAAAAACAATACATTAAAATTGATGGAACTAAGCTTACAAAAAATTAGTGGCAATCCTACAATAAAATTAATACAAACAGCTTCTCAAATTTATAAACATAAGGAAAAGAGAAAATAATCCAACATTATTTATTTTTTCATTATATCAATGATTTAAAAGCTTCTTTTTTTTTGGGGGGGGGGGGGGGGGGGGGGGCATATCTAAGGAATGTCATTTAAGCCACATAAGCAAATTGATCACCCCATGTTATTATTTAAGAATAATTAAAAAATTCTAAGAACTCACACTAAAATAAAAGCTTGTTTTTTTCTCTTTTAATTCATTAAGCAAATGTCTCAAAATAATTCAAATAAAATAAATTAAAAAAAACTCACAATTAGCTCTTTGCTTACACATTGTTCCCTTAAAAACACGCTCAGTCACTACTCTCTCGCTTATTCCCAACTTCCATGCTAATTTGCACTCACACCCTTAACGAATTAGCTCAGTCATTGCATCACCCATGATGACTAGTTCACTAAGAAAATGTTCCATTAATTTTGCTCCGCCAACTTGTTGAGATTATTTTTTTTATGATATATAT